CTTATTTGACCAGTTAAGACAGAATCAAGAAATGAATCACAGACTCATGAAGTCATGATTTTCCTACGAAATGAAGGAATTTAAATCCACCATTGGCTTGCCTCTAAGTAGTCTCTGAGAGAAAGAATCACTGATAGTTTTGCCAAAGGGCGGTTGTTGTTGGCACTTACTACGTCTTAGAATACTCCCGAATGCTTTTGCCCCTCATCGGTTGTGAATATGCAGGAGGTTTTGACATCTGACATTTTTTACATAATTTCTCCAATACTTTTGTTACATAATTGTTATCATTGTTAGTGATTGCAGATGCTAATCTGCGCTGGCGATTTGCACAAAAAATTGGATCCCGAACAATTGTGGGATAAAACTTTGTCTTTTCAAGCACCGAGTTTATGAAAAAAAACCAAGGATATCCCTCCAAATTCTCGTTCTGGAATGAATTGGGCAAACTGTGGATCTACAGAGGATGCCTCATTCGATCTCAGTCTATTAACCATTTTCTTGACATTTCGTTGTTAAATGAATTTCATTCGTTATTTCAGAGCAGTTTAAAAGAATAAATACTGCCCAAGTCAAATGCAAAGCATATGTGAATAGATATAAATAAATAAAAGCAAAGTAAGAGAAAAACGCATCCGAAAATAGTAATACGAATATGATTGAAGAGAAATCAAAAGCACTTAAAGACGCATGAACATATAAATATATATTAATTTATACACAATTAAGCATGGTGATTAAGTCAGCCTTTGCTTCTATGAAATTTTGAAGGCAATAAAACAAAGATTTAGCTGCTGCGCATAGTTGCAGGCTGCCGGAGGCAGATAAAAACCAAGACCGGTCGAGCTATTACTGTTGTTATTGCCGGAATGCTCCCAAATGTCGAGCGCAGCTGTGCTAGTGATATAACCTATTAAGTTAATTAGTTATTAAATCACGGTTTTTTTAATGAAATCACAACGTTTCTAGATAAATTAAAAAAAAAAATCTGTTGAAGTGTTGGTATGAAAAATACTGAAGGCGCTACAAAAAAACTAAACGTACAATACTAACCACACAATACTGCCACTGAACGGCAAATTTACAGCCGGTTTACTTGCGAACACAACAGGTCTTGAAGTGTTGCCTGAAATGCATGGAGAAACGAGTTTACATAATGCCTGCTTCTAATCGTTGCTGCTTTTCACTTTTAGCAAGCAATTTTTGAGTTGTTTTTTCGGTAATTTTTTTAGTGATTCGCTGCTGCATGCGAAATCGCTGTCTGAGAAGCGGAAACACTCTCAAGTAGTTCAGCTGGTACCTCGTACCAGGAGCAAGCATCCGCTGTCAAAACTGTCGGTGACTGCTCGAGGGTTGCTTACAAACAAGCTGATGGCGAGTTTGACTTCTCGT